CCTGTGATCAATCACAAATTAAATTATTTATGCTGGATTCAATTGTGATGGATATAATCCCTCACCAGTTTTAATATGTGTAACATTAACAGTCTCTGCTGTAACTATATTGTCATTTGGAGCACAACATATACATGTTATACATATATAGGACAATCTTAATATGTATTCGTTTGTACGTAGTACGTAGCTTTTTTGTGTATTTTTTTCCTTAAAAAAACATCTATCTGGATACGTACGGAATCTTTTATATTCGTCTTTTATCCCATATATCGATGTCTCATTTTTTATGTTGACTCCATACTCAAAAAACTTTATGAATTTATAATAAACATGAAAATTCGATCTTTTTCACAATTCTATAAGTTCATTTTGCTTTTTTTATATACCTTTTCTATATTTGTGTCGAGAAAAAAGGTATTAAGTCAAGATTCATGTCACCTGTCACCAACTAGACCAAAAATACTTGTCGGATATTATCCCGCTTATAAACTATATTTAACACCGGGAGTAGATTTTGATATCAGCCCATCAATTGATTACTTAATCTATATTGGTATGCAAAATTAAAGCTTTTAGCCTATTTAATCACAATAAATTTTGATAAGTTATTTAAATTAATATTTATATAGCATTTGGCCCAAATGACCTTGTTAATAATGGCGCAAATCTTAATGCTGGTGGTGACCCACTTAAAATTTTTAACAGTCAATATTCCAAGTTTTATGAACTGTTAAACTATAAGACAAAAAACACTCTAAAATTTAAGGTAAATAATAAATATTGAACATACATCAAAAAGCTTTATTAGTATATGGTAATCCAAATTGATATTTTATAGATTATTCTATCGGTCCAATTACCAACTGATGGGAATAACTTAACTAAATTCTTTAATAAACAGCCTCTGGATCCGATTCAGGGTTGGTATAAACCGACTAGCACACAAAATACAAAATTAATTTATGACTTGATGTCTACTGTTAATAATTTTAACTTTGATGGAGTAGGATTGACTGATTTTATTTTATATTAACGTGATAATTATTTGGGTGTCTCCAAACGGAAACCATTAATTCTTGAATTTCGGACTTTAACACTTAACAGGGTATGGCTTATTGGCTCCGAATAAATAATTTACTGCTACATAATTTGTCTTTAAAATCGATGCTTGAATCGATACTGTGGATGGGCAAAGTAATTTTGTAAGTAATAATGTACTTATGGCTTATCCCTTACTTGATATCAAGTAATAACGTTAATTAATTATTGCATTCTATTATTTATTACGTAGCATTTAATTGGTCGAATGAATAATCAAAGCAGAAAAAAAGCAAATTTGCTGCTAAAAATATAATCATGACATTACCATACAGCGTGGACTAAAATACCCAGGGTACTTTACAATTTAAGCTGTATATATGGGTTTATAGTCAGAGGGATACTATGGTCTGTGTAAAGGGTATAAGTTGCTCTATATGTGTGCCTCAGTAATGTTTTATATTCTAGGTGCAATTAATCCATCTTTAGTACCGGATATTTTACATTCCCAAGTGCAATTAATCCGTCCTTAATGCACGGGCACTTTACATTCTAGCCTTCCGAAAATTGTGAGAGGTATTATAAACGGGGCCTTTTAGACCATGCTGTACGGTACTCATTACCTTTTGCAATCACGAAGAAATCCGTAAAATTGGAGAACAGGCTTTGAAAAGTCTAGTAAATTTTATGAATTTCAGCAATATGCGATCCACTCCTTTTTGAAACAACTACGTATAACGATAACATTTTCATAAATAAATCTAGTTAACTTGTCTGGAAATAAAATTTTCCAAGATTCTCGTTTCCTTAGTATTATCTCTAGTATATTAAAATTAGCAGATTTTTAGGCAAAGTTTCAGTAATAAAAAAAGAAACAAGAATTTTGATCTTATTTTACCAAAATAACTACCAGTTCTAGTATACTATTAGAGATAATACTAAAGAATCGAAATACAAGGAATCTTGGAATTTTTGTTCCCAGACAAGTTATTTATGACAAAGTGTCAAAATTTTCGAATTTCTTCGTGTTAACAGGAGCGACCGTCCCAAATATGGAAATGATTCCGATGAGTTATTCATGCTTGCAAACAGGTTACGAAAAAATGTGTGTGGTTCACAGGGATTCAAAGAATATGCTATAAGGTGAAGCTAAAACACCAATTCATTCGTTATATTTACTCTCGTTTCATAGAGTGTTAATTATTTCCATATTTGGGGACGGTCTCTTCTGTTAGGTGGTAATTTAAAAACATGCATAATTTTGCCCATCCTAATTGATTTTGGTGTCAAATACCAAATGATTTAATGTCATAGCGATAGTATAATTATTGTGGCAGCTGAAGCTAAAATTGACTGAAACTAAAATATGAACCCTATTTTTATATAAAATTTTAAAAATTTTTTGTGTTTTTTGTTTTTTTTTTAGGGATGGATCAGGATTTAGGGGTATAATTGATAATTAAAGAGTATATATGGATTTTAATGTTTTTATATTTTCAGCATTAGGTGCCACACTAATTATAAACCATTCCAAAACATCCTTAACTTTCTTAGTAAATCAAGCTCCGTAACTTTTCAGTAACATTTCTAATTAATATAATTTTAAACTATGTTACCAGATTTTTAATTTACTTATTGACTTTGTTAATTTTAAAGTAAAAACTACTAAGTTGTAAAATAGCCAAATTTTGACAACTTTTATAAATTAATCAAAAATCTAGCAACATAGTTTTAAATTTGCATAATTGTATGTATTGTTCAAAATTACAGAACTCAATTTGCTTAGTAAGAAATCAGGAACGGTTGAAAGCTTTTTTTATATTTTATTATAATATAATCCTAAAATCTTATACAAGTCACTCTCATTATATATAGTGAAGCCGGTTGTAAGATTGCCTTCGCTACGTCGAATCTATTAGTAATTTTTAGTAAATTCACTATATCGAGGGAGGTTTTTATATAAACCATTTTTCACTATAACGAGAGTGACTTGTAGTGAGCCAGTAAGCCAATATCCTGTAAAGTGAAATATTCGAAAATCAATTCTCAACGGCACCTATTTATTAATATTTAATTAATTAACTTTCTATTACTCTATAGATTGATATTGATTATCCTTTTAAATCTCCATGCAGCCCTTCAATAGGATTCAATGATTCCGATTTTTTAAGTTTTATAAATGCCATATCAACACAATTAGGCAAGGACGATAAGGGTGTCGTTAAGTCTTTAACGATTACAGCAGGCCAAAATCCTATAAAGGGTATCAACTCAAATATCATTAGCTTTATAAATATTCAGGTAAAATTTAACTTTTTTCTTTATATAGTAAGTGGCATTATAAATATCTATTTATCCATTTATACAACTTTAGGCATTTCGTCTTAATATAAATAGCATGTATGCAAGTGCTGGAATAGATAGAATCTCGACAATTTTAAATAATTGGAACTTTACAGATTATTCAAAACTCTTTTTAGGCGTTGAGTTTGGAGGAATCGTTGAAACTGTTTCCTCCAAAAATATTAAATCTGACATTGAGAACCAAAATCTTCAATTACAATATATCTCAAATTTAAACTTCCCTTTTGTTAATGAACAGATTTCAGATCCGTGTAAATATTCATCATATGCATATTTGTCATGGGAAAATCTAAGTAGTTTATTATCATCATCATCTTGTCCTACGAATTTAATTTCATCGTCACCATGGACTTACGGCTTTATTAGCAGTGCAAGACAACCATATCTTTATCAACAACAAGCCTCGTCTTCAAACTACTATGTTACTTTTTATGAAGATTATCAATCATTAAGTGCCAAACTCGATTATATAAACAATTATAATGTAGCAGGAATTGCGATTGCAGACATCTCCAAAGATTCAAAAGATTTACAATTGACAAACTTTATTTTGGGGATTCAACCAAATTATTTGAAAGGTGGCATTTCTACATCTTCCAATATAGGTGCAATAGTAGGTGGTGTAATAGGCTCCATGGTTTTTATTGGCCTATTCTTGGCAGCTGGTTTTATATTGTATCCAAAATACAAAGCAAAAATGTCTAACCCATTTATAGATACAAATCAGGCTTGCTCTGATACAAATCCTCAGTTTAACTCTGATATAAATCGTCAGGGTTACTCAGATACAGATCATAAACCTTCTAATTATTAAAATAGTGAAAATATGCATACTTTAAAAAAGATTTTTACTATTAATAAATGTCCAACATGAGTTCGGTTATGCATGAGACAAACTCCCTTTATAATTAGCAACTTTAATAACGAACTCTAGATATAATGAACCGTAAATTTTTAAATTTTATACTAGTTTGTTTATTCGGTATAGAAATGCAGTATACTCTTAAGAAACAATAATTTTATATAAAAATTTTTCCTCAGAACTATTTATTCATTATATATGCATTTGTAATACGAATTCAATAAAAATTGTCTTCTGCTACGATAATTATTGTGATCAATTTTCTAAAAACACTTGCAACTTATCAATCTTGCAGTCAATATTCAAGAAACCTTCACGTGTAAAGATGCTGGTGAAATTAAACTAGAATGGTGAAAATAGTTTCGCCATTATTGATAAAATTGGTAAAATTATTTCACCAACATTTCCATTCTCGTGCAGACGAAGCGCAGATTCATTCTCTTTGTAAATAATAATAATATCTGAAACATATTTTGATGTTAATTCTAAGATTACATGACAATAATTTGAGAATATGAATATACAATTATTTCATTACTGTATTACACTGTTTCATATAACCTTACAATATAAACCTATTTTTAGGTTACCAAGTAATCCAGTATCTCCATTAAAACTAGGAATCGGAACAAATATAAGGCCGAGATATGATTAGTGATGTGCCATTTATATGATACCTGAATTTTTTTCGCGTACAGTACGTACATTGCGTATAGTATATAGCAATTTGATTGGCTGGTAGAAAGAATCGGCAAAAATTTTCGCGTACAGTTACGTATAGTAAAGTTTGAAAGGAGTTTTTAAATATAATAAAAACCAAATTAAAAATATTAATTGCAAAATATTTACAGATTAATAGTTAGATAAAATATTCTAAATGAATTTTTAAGCAAGCTTTTCTATAAATCTATATAAATTATAAATAAGATAATTAAAAAGAGATATTAATAACCAAAATTTTTGTACAATAATTCATTATAAAGCTCTATAAGGCTCATGCTAAATTTTAGTTAAAATAGGTTTTGAACAGATTTACTTAATATATCTGACCTCTGTTTCTTAGTTTCATTTTTGAGATATTGCATCCCGATGATCACTGGTCATGGTTAGTAAAATTCTTTAAATATAGCCCAAGATTTATCTTGCTACAATTATTTATTCTATAACTACATATACTATAGTTAAAAAATAACAACAATTTTTATCTATAATAATATATTTTTTTTAAAGAATAAATATAGGAAATTGCTATTTATGCCCCATTTTTGATATTCATACTTCTACGTATAAAAAAAATCATTTAACCAAATTATTATCGTGATACGAGACAATGTATAGTCTGCGCATCAATAATATTATAACTCAAACCATTAAATTAACTTATATTACAATAAAAATTAGGTATTTACATAGAAGAGGATACGAATAGCAAAATTGGGGGTATGAATAGCAATGTCCATTCTCCTAAAACTAGTAGATTTTATTTTTTAGTAGCTACTAGGGAGGTGTATAAATAGCAAAAGTGGGGTACATTAATACGTATTACCCTAAATATAATAACAAACATTAATTTACTTAAAAAAAGATTACACAGTATTATTAGAATATATTATACTTAGACCAGATTAATATAAAGCTTAAAAATTTACAGTTCTTTATGTCTAAAGTTCATTATTAAGGTGATTAATTATAGAGGAAGTTGGTCTCATCTCATGTTAGGTACTTATTTAATAGTGTAAATCTTAAGTATGTACATTCTCACCATACTAAGAATTAGAAAGCGTTATGATTTGTATCTGAGTAAATTCGATTTATATCCGGACGAATCTGACGATTTATATCAGAGTAAATCTGAGGATTTGTATCCGAGCAAGCTTGATTATTTGTATTTATGAGTGAATTAGACATTTTTGCTTCGTGTCTTCTTCGATGTAATATAAAGCCAGCTGCCACTATTATGCTAACAAAAATAAGGGAGCCTATTATACCACCCACTATTGCACCTACATTGGACAAAGATGGTTGAGATGTGGCTGTATTAGATGTAGGCGTAATTGGTTTCTGAGGGGGGTTATTCTGATTTCCTATTATGAAGTTCATTAATTTTGCATCGACCGTATCCTTAGTTATATCAAAAATTGCAATTCCTAGTGCATTACCCTGCACATAATCAAGTTTGGATTTTAATGATTGAAAATCTTCATAAGAAACATAATAGTACTGTGTAGGAGAGTTCTGTTGTTGTTGATAAACATATGGCTGTTTGGCATTATCATCAAAGCCATATTTCCATTGTGGATCTTTATTAGTACTTGTATAACAAGGTAATAATGTTTTAGAAAAATTTTTCCATGACCAAGATGCATATGCTGAATTTGCGCACAGATCTTGAATCCTTTCATCAAAAGATGGTAATTGAATATTTGGGATCTGATTTTGGTTCACAACCTGAAGGCTTTGATTATTGGTATCCGCTGTAATATTACTAGAAGTAACAACTTCGACAATGCCACCAAAATCGATTCCCAAAACGAGTTTTGATTTACTAACATAATTATTCCAAGCATCAAAGATTTTCTGAATATCGTTTATTCTAGCACTTGCAGACTTGTTACCTATATTAAGATAAAATGCCTAAAATTTTATAAGGAAATTTAATAAACTGGGTTAATGCACAGTATCCGAAGCTAACAAGCTATTATGTATGGTTAAGTGATCTGGTTATGTTTGATCGAAGTATATAAACGGACATCACGTAATTTGGGGAAGTAAAATGTCCTCCGCTACATTTATGACAATCTAGGTTTGTAACATTATATGTTGAAAATAAAGTTAAATCCTACCTGAATATTCACAAAACTAATAATAACTGAATTGCTAGAGTTAAGACTATTTATAGGATACTGTCCTGCCGTGACAGTTAAAATTTTACTGCTATTAGATTTCTTTAATTGGCTTGATAAATCAGCTAGAAAAGATACAAAAGTAGGATTTAAATCATTAGCGTCGAACTGTTGTAACGTTTGCGTTGAATAGCATGGAAGCTTATTGGGATAATCAATGTCAATCTATAATTTAAAAGTAATTAACGTAACCATTATTAAATAATGGAAAAGATAAGAATTATTGAACTTACTCCATCGAACGAATTCGAAATATCAGTAACAATTTTAACCAAATCACTAACAACAGTATTGTTTGGATTATATTGCCCATTAATAGCTCCAACGTTAGAAAACGGTGATATTTTTACTAAGTCTTGACTAGTAGGCAACAAGACTGAAAGGATTAACTATAAGTAGCAAATTAGTCATTACAATAGGTACTTTAACATGTACTCGGCATTTATTACTCACTTGAAATTTCCGATTAGGATTTCGAACAAGATAATCTCTAAATTGGTTAAATTTGGTGTATTGACTCATGAACACTGTATATGGCGCAGTGCCATTAGTAAGGTCATCTGGGCCAAATGCTACAAGAATTTAAATCAAATAATATTTATTAAATTAAACCTTTATAATGATTGAAGGTTTTAAATTCCGCATACCAATATAGTTTAGATGAGTAATTGACGAACTTATATTAAAATCATTTGATTTTAAATTGTATTTATAAGCTGGATAATATCCAACAATCGTATTTGGTTGCTGTGGTCTATTTATCCCACAGTCCTGACTAAAAACCCCAATATTAATAACCAAGATCAAAAAGGCATATAAAAAAAGTATCATAAAATTATAGGGCGTGAACGAATGAGTTTTCATATTTATAATTATATGAAACATAAAGTGTTTTGGGAATAGAAAAACCACCCTCAAAGAAGTTTTAATATTGAGAATGGGTCTATATAATCATTTATTTTCTTAAAAG